CCCAATACTTTTTTTCCTTTAATGCTTGGGTGTTTGATTTTGGGCTGACCTGCCACTCCAGAGCAAGCTCCAAGAAGACAGAGTTGCAGCATTTTCTCTGGAGCTGCAGGACTGGCAGTTTCCCATCTGTTTTTTCTCCTAGCTGCAAAAGCAAGCAAAGCCAGGAAACTGCAAGAATGGGGGGGGGGGGGGGGCTGGCTGGCTGAAGCACTGATTCTCCCCTCACTCATGATGTAGCCCTTGACAGCCATCCTATCCTCCTCCCCAACCCCTGGGAACAGCAATGGGGGACTCGCTGAGCAGCAACTGTCTAGCTGGTAAGAAGGGCAAGTGCCCTGAGAAAGAGGCTGCACAATGTTAAACCCCTCTGGCTTGCTTATGTGAACACAGAGGCTGTCTCATGCACCTCCTTATGCATGATCAGTGGCACTTCTGAGTACCCCCCACTTCTGAGGATAATACTCATCAGAAATTCACAGGAGTTACTTACTGTATTGGATGAGTAACTTTTAGAAAACATCTAATGCTACCAGAAACAGTAACTAACTGTAGTCAATGAACTGCATGGGACAAGGTAAAAAAGGTATGTTTTATCCATCAAAGGGACAGAAATCTGCAATTTCCCATACAGACTAAAACTTGCTTTTCAGATGGAAAAAAAAGTAAATTGAAAGCCAAAATGGTCAGAATTGCTGCTTCATCACTTTAAAAGATTTTCCCCAGGCACTAGCCAATGATGCAGTCATATCCCAGCAGGGATGACATGTATAGGGGATGAGATATACACCTTTTTTGGGTGATTGAGAACTTTTGTTCTTTTTTTGTGAACAATCATGTCATCACAACTTTTGTGTGTTGCTAAATTTTGGCAGGATAATCTGGGAGTTCTGGATTACCCACCCCTGATTTAGCTCAGTAATTGCCAAGATGCACACTTCTATACCCAGCTAGCAAGTTCATTCCTGTGCAATAAAATGGAAGTCTCCAGTACAATGCCCATGTATGGACAATTCCCTTGGCCCCACCCAGGCTTTGTGCCCTTCCTGATTTTGAGGAGAAAAAGACTTCAGTTTAGAATATTAAATTGGAAGTTAGCACGCATCATAATAGCCACCAAGCATTATCTTCATTTCCAATAACGTAGATAGGCATTCTTAGAAAATAAAAATCAGCCTACTATAGCTTAGGGTGATTACTGCTATTTTTTAAATATGCCCAATTTGCCCAGCAAAAAAAATTAAGATAAATTCAAAATTATAGGAAGCATCTAGGGAGCTACAGGGAGTTTGGTCTGGTAATTAAGTGACCTTCCATGTCCAATATGGCAGCTATGTCATGAATGGGCAAAGCCTAAGATAATTCTTTGTTCTCAAAATTCTAAACATGTCCACCAGCCAAAAAGGTTGCTGATCTCTGCAATTAATCACTACAGAATTATAAGCTTGAATTCCCTTTCCTGATCTTCTCATATTCTTGAAAGAGGCCCTATCTTGTACACTCAATCTGTCATGAGACCATTTCATAAGACCAAGTACCCTAATGAATCATACCTGTGATCTGATCCCCATCTGAGATATGCTTGGTGTAATCTGGCAACTTCACAGCCGGTAGTAATGCTGGGAGTGGGGATGCTATGGAGTTCATCTCTGGTTCATTGGGTTGAGTTTCAAGGATAGATTTGGGTCCAACTTTCAGGAAGGCCCACTTGCCTGACTCCTCTTTTGGGGAAGGAGCTTGGCTGCCCTGTCCTCTTTGCAGTGTCAAGCTTTCCACCTTCTTGGAAATTCCTATCAACAAAGTATTTGGTGTGCTTGACAGACATGGGTGATCCACACAACATGCTGCAGCATTGTCTTGGTCAATGTTGCTGCAAGTGCCCTCTGCACGTCCAACTATTTCTGCTAAAGGACTGTTGCTGTTTTCTTTCAGCTTTGTTCTTGGGCTATTCAGCACTGCCTCAGAACCAGGAAGCAGAATACTGTCTTCCACTTGCTGTTGACAACAGTCCACATTTTCTTGCCCTGCCTTCCAGGAAAAGGATCTTTCTGACTGCCTTTTCAGGATTAAAGGGTCTCCAGAACTAAGTTGCCACTCATTCTTAGGGAGCATTTGTTTAGTCTGCCATTGGTGATTTCCCTCCATGCTTATTCTATTGCCCAACTCTGTTAACTGGTCTACTTGCGTCCCTTCCATCTGCTCTAGAAGATGTAGTTGTTCTAACCATTCAGAGCACTGACCTTTAACTTCTGCTGACTGTTTCTGTGAGGAGTGGTTGTCAGCTACTCTCATACTTGAAAAGGATCCCACCTGTGATGATTTGGTTATGGTTGGAGAAAATGCATTTTTCTCCAGCCTTAGTTTAGAGCTGTCAGAATCCTCCTTGCAGCTACTCCTCTCCCACTCTGTCAGAAAACTGCTGCCCATTCTGGCTACACCCAAAAGATCAGGACAGGATGAGGAAGACTTGGGTAACTCTGAGCTGCCTCCTGTTGTGTCGGAAGCCCCTGTCTCTGGAGTCTGACATTCGGCATCCTCTCCATCCTTGTAACTGCACATGGCATACCTCCAATCAAGCTCATGTTCCGGATGTGCCTGTAAGGTCTTGGCAGAAGGTAGCTCCTTAATGATAGTGGGAATCAAAGAGGCTGGAAGTTTCTCTGGATCTCCAGGATGTTTCAGGAATAATTTGTCACTTTGTGTTCCATTATTTACAGAACATGCAACATTAGTTGTCTGCATGTCAGAAGTCTTCAGCTGCCCAGATGGCATTGATGCAAGAGCTGAACCAGCACAATTTCCCCAGCAAGGACTATTGTTCTGACTGTCCTTGGCTTTCAGCCAATGGAATGTGCTGGGCTGAGTTAAAGATCCTTCGCGGGGCCCAAATGTAGGCAATGAGGCATCTGTCAAGTCCACACACTCTCCTTCCAGATCACTTTCACAGTCCTTCCCAAGCTCTGGGCTTCTACATTCCTTATCAGCAGGCTCCTTCATTATGGTTGTAAATGAGTTGGTCTCATGAAAAATGTCAGATCCCACTGAAAGACAGCTGCTTTGGGGCTCTTCCACTGGAAAGTCCAGAGCAGGAGACTTCTCAGTCACTAGGGTAAAATGTGCATTTTTATTTTTTTCAATTGTTTGGGACTTATTGATAAATTCTGGATTGACTATTTTGTCCCAAGGTACTCGGAATATTTCATCCTCCGTGGCTAACAAGCAGTTTTCCAATACGGTTCCCAGCCGCTTTCTGTTGATGGAGTTCAGCCATTCCACAGTGAAGACAGAGGTGTAAGAGGCCTCAGGTACCACAAGCTCCTCCACGTTATGTTTGTCCTCAGCCAAACACTTCACTATGATCCGTGGAGACTTTTTCAAGTATGGAACCACTTGCAGGTAAAAGTCCCCTGGTCTCAAGATCCGCCAGTTGAGAGAACCCAGCTGGATTACAATCTTCTCGTGAATGCAAAGGGGCCAGCCCTCATGCCGGAAGAGCAAACCATAATACTGAACCTTATGGAATAAGAAAAATCAGATGAATTGTCTGCAAGTAGTTTCTCAACAAGGGAGAATATAATACCACCCCACCCACCCATGGGGAAATGATGCCATAATTATAAGCATCCCATAATTTAAGGAAAGATATTTCAGATTGATAGTAGCTTAAATATGCTATTAAACCTAACAAACACTTATGCACTTATGGAAGCTATCCATACTTGTGGAATAAAGCAGAACTATAGCATGGATTTCCCTTAACTTACTACTTTCAAAAGGGCTGTGTGCATACTTCAGAAAATTATTTAGAAGATGAAAACCTTGTGTGACCCTCGCACCAGTCTTCTACTAATTAAAGCCGACCTATCTTTTGTCAGGCTTCCACACGAGGCTAACAAAAGATGTGATTGTTTGAAGTCGCTTAAAGAGCTATCTCATTAAAGCAGATGCATCTTTTTTCCATCTCATGCAAAACCCTGGCAAAAGATAGGCCTGCTTTAATTAGTAGCAAAGGGATGCTGTGCTCACCCTTATATGAAGTCTAAAGCAATTCTTCCAAATCATTTTGAAGCATGTATAGTCATAATTTCCAGTACTGTAGCGTTATCCTACATTTTGAAAGTTCGCTATTGAAATCCAGTTGGAAATATCAAGTGGTTCTGAGTACAACAGCTAGACCGTTACCTGGGGCAAACAGAATTTGCCAGTTTAATAACACCTTAAGTGACTCCTCCTTTGAAAAGTTATTTGAAAATAAGTTTCCCAAAGTATGAATTTAAGATGAATACTACTTGGAAGGATGACTAGGCCCAACAAAGGTCAGGATAATACTTTAATTAAGAAATATTTCCTCTAGGAAAGTTTGGAGAGATGGCACATTCTGGTACAGATTTCCTTTTTTATTTATTTAACAAAAATGTAACCCATCCCAATCCAGCTAGACTCTGGGCATCAAATAATACAGAAAAAGTGCATTGAAAAAAGAATCTGATCAAGTAAAACAGTCCATTTTTATACTTTTAATTATGTATTTTCCAGGTTGCCTTTGCACATGGCTCTGCTCCCAGAGAAGAACAGCAGAAGGAGCAAGAAAGGCACTGGTCCTAAGGCTACAGAGGGAAAGGTTGACTAGAAGCAATGGATGCCAGAGTATCAGGAAGAAAGAATTTAACTAGACACATCTCTCCACAATGACAAGAGAAACTGGCAGAGAAATCTGCAGTAGATCCCTTGTAGAACTTTTTAGCTTCCTCCCCTCCTCCAAAGGAGACCGATGACCTCTGTTGCTCAAACCTTTAGGGTGCATGTTGAGTCTTTCCTTGCTTGGCCAGTTTTCAGCTTTTGGATCTGCACACATAGAATCATGGGGTTGGAAGGGACCTTGGAGGTCTTCCAGTCCAACCTGTGAACAAGTCTCCTTAACCGCCTAGGAAAGATACTTCATTTGAACAAGGATAAAACAAGGAATGTAAGTCCTACACAGACAAGGGCCAAATAGTGGAAAATAGGCAGATTTAGCTCATTTCCCAGGTGAGCCCTATGGAAAGGAAAAAGTTACTGGGAGGCTGGAAGAAGCCATTTGAACCCCCCATTCAAGTAGCAGTCTTGGCTAAGTTCCATGGTCACACTTGAGCCTGGAAAATGACCACCATCACTGTCCCCAGGTGGGACCCTCAACTTTGCTGGCATTGTGACTTAACAAAGTGAGTTCAAGATATCTGAGTCTCTTGGCATTGTCTCAATAAGAATATTGTCACATCCGTGAGATGGGCGCATATATAAATTTGATAGATAAATAAATTGATAAATAAATAAATATTTGCAGTGCCACCACAGAAACTTTATCTGCTCACTTGCAAGCAAAGTGCTCTAGAATCCAGGTAAACCTATTCAAGGGAGTAATGCTCCTGTCACACATGCCCTATTTCTTTTTTCTTTCTGTTTTGCATAAACAGCAGCAGTGAGCCACAGAATATTTATTTTTGCTGCTAATAGTCAGGCCTGACATTTGTTGCATGGCAGCGGCTGACATAAACCTGCTAACACTTGCAGTTTTTTGAAGAGTCGTCTGCAAAATCATTATTTTGGTAAATACAAGTTATATATGTTTAATATGATAAAAATCTGACAATTCAGGCCCTTGAAAGCTTCTGCAATATTTTTCTCTTCAATCAGGAATTCTTCTACAATGAGAAGAACTGTAATGCTATGGACAAACCTCAGGGTTTCTTGGCTACAGACCTAGCATGGCTATTAGGTTCCTGGAGGCCTCCCCACCTGCCATCATTCCTAGGTGCTGCTGGTGAGCATGGGGGAGAGTCTTCTGGGCACTCAGCTTGGGCCTACCAGGCTAGCAGGTCCCTCTGGATGCAGCAAGATACTCACACAAGCATCCTGCTGGACCCACTGCAAGATGTGCTTGGCTGGAATCAGGAAGTCGAGGAGGTAGTGCAAGCCATCCCCGCTGTACGTCTTCTCCACCACATCGAAGACCTGACAGAGGACTGTGGCTGATGTGATCTCAAAGGGAGGATAAAGTGCCGAGAGGATATTCTGGATGCAGCTGTCCAGCGACTGGGAATCCTACCAAGAGAATGAGACGCAGCAGCTAGCAATTGTGCCTCTCGGGCTGCTAACATGAAGAACTGTGGACCTCCTTGTTACTCTAAACCCCCAACTCTCCCAAGCACAGCTCCTGTACCGCCAGAGCGGAGCCCTCACCTAGTCTCGACGGAGTGGCGGCAGACAGCTTACACTGCAAAAACTTTCCTGACTGAACAGGGTGTGGCTCCTGTTAAACTGTTGTTATTGTAGCATGTGAGAGAATACACGGCATGCGCATGTGAACGCGAGAGAGAGAGGCAGAACGTTTATTATTTACTTGTATTTATAAGACTCACAAAAGCACCTTCGCAGACATTATGCTACTGCTGGAAAATTTCACACCACCACAAGAAGTCCTCAGCACAGACTGTAGTACAACCCCCACCCCCACCCCCAAAAACCAACCATGAGCAATGCCGGGGACAGTTCTAAGCTCTGGCTGTGCCCTGGAATCATGTGTCATGATAATAAACTCAAGAACTAGACTCAAACACCAATCCCCTTCATTCAGAACATATCACACGGATGAAACAAATGTATATGACAACATTGCATTATTTGCCCTTATATTAGCGTCAAGTTCTATGACAATTAGGAGAATGCATGACAGGTGAGAGGCACAGGTCAACAGAGAGATGCAGTTAAGGTGGCACAAAAGGCGGGTATTTTGGGGGGGGGCAAAGAGAACAGTTTCCATGTGTCTCCCTTATCCAGAGCCCCTTCTGGCTGATGAGAGCATTCAGCAGTCCGCAGCTCACACATTTGCAGCCATCACAAAGGCTAGGAACTCTAACGAGCCTAGTGCTGTTCCAAACTTTTTACAAATTCATAGGTTTTGAATGCTAACAGAAAAGCCACTGCAGAACACTGCGTATCTGATTACTTTGCTCTGTGAGACAATGCTGTTAGCAGACTGTGGTTATTCTGCCAGTGGGAAAGAAATGCACCCAGATTTACTGTCTCCCGGTTTGTAAAAACTTCTGCTGTGGCTTCAGTGCTGCAGGGCCTGAGAACCAGGATTGTGCAGCATCAGCAGTTCTGCTAGCACACACACGCACACACCTAACAACAATTAACTTGTCATCTCCAAATAAATCCAAAGATCCTCCTACTTCACGGAATCTGCTTCAGGCATGAGAGTTTGCCATTTCCTTGTGACTAAGGCTGATTTGCGCACTTCAAAGAAAATCTCCTAATAAAAATCCCAAGTTATGATGTCAGAGAAAGCCCTCAAATTTACTGTTTTTTCAAGTGCTAGCTCTGGAGATTTCATCTAGAGATCCCTTCAGACAAAGCCACCCTGCTGGCCTTTTGTACAGCCTTGAAAACCTGGCTCTTCCTATGGGCACTGTGACAGGGTGTTAGATGAGCCCATCCGTAATGGCTGAGATGAACATGGCTGGCCTCAGTTGCATTGTGTTTTCTGTTGTTTTATTTGGTTATTTTCTGTTTTAATTCAACGTAAGCCACCCAACATTGCATTTTGCCAGTTATGATAGCTATAAAAATGGATTAAGAAATACATGTAAAATCTGGGAAAGCCTGTGTAGTAGTACAGAGTAGTAGCTAAAACTGAGAAGATCCAGATTCAAATCCAGTCATTCCATAATGCTGAGTTTGTGGCAACTGTCTCTCAAACCAATCTATCACAACTATAATATGTTGTGATTATACAGTGGGAGGTGGGGGGGGACAGGAATTCCTTGGAGGAACTAGTAGGGAAACTACTTGAGTTTTGAGAACTGTTCTGTGTTGGTCAAACTCCACCTTGAGTAGCATGACCAGTTCAAGGCACTTCAATTTAAGAGCAATTCCACAAACTAAGATGAGCTCAGAGCAGAGCAATAAGGATGACTGGCACTACTCCGACCTGAGGCCCACTGCAGGCAGGCACTGCCACCTATGCCCAAGAGACAAAAGATGGCACACCTTATGGGCCACCCCACACTAGCAAACAGCACATAACTCTTTTGAGTTACATATCTAGCTGAGTGGGAAGGAAGACAGGTTGTGTGGGAGGAAGGGCCCTGGATGTCGCGGAGGAAAGAATCCCCTGAAGCCCCTCCCTTTCACCTTTCTTTTGAAAGAGCCCCTTCTGCCCTCCCTGATGGAGCCATTAAGACACTGGATTTTTTTCTTCCTATGGACTGGAACTGGCTGCAGTTCTTCAGTCCTGAGCCAATTTTTTTCCCTTTGAGCTAAGAGCTGAATAGGGCCGAACAAACCTGAGAAACTAAAGAGCTAGAGGAAAACAACAGCTTAGCTGAGTGTACCTAAAACCTGCCGCCGCAAAAAGCCAGCCGTGTTCTGCAGCTGCCAAAAGACCTAATACAATATTGGGCTGCATCAACAAAGGCACAATGCCAAGGTCGCAGAAAGAGGTAGCTCCACTGTGTGCTGCACTGGTAAGTGTGTCCATTTCTGGTCACCACAATACAAGAAAGATCCTGACGAACCAGAAAGAGCGCAGAGAAGAGCAGTATCACTAAGTGACGGGTTTGGAAGCCTTCTGGAAGGGTTTCCGGCGGGTGGAAGCTTTACAGAGAGATCCAAAGTGAAAATAAGCAGGAATTTCCTGACCATGAGAAAGACTTAAAGTCACGGATCCGGAGAGTTGCAAGGCATTGGCTGGGCCGTTCCGAAGGTCCCTGCTCTGGGCAGCGGTCCCTCCCCAGCCCAGGATTCCAGGAGCCCAACCGTAGCCAGGCCTCTGGAGAGCCCCAACGTCCGTCAGGAACG